GTAGCTTTTTAACATCCTTTGTTATGCCCAAATCCACGGGGTCCCCACAAATGCCAACAAAGGAAACTGAGTCCCATAAGTAAAGCAAAGAGCCTTTATTTTAATCAAATTTGCATGTCCAATGTATTGGAATAACCAGAGAGCCCTGAGCTCAATTAGAATTGGGTTTTTATAGCAGTAAAGGTGGGGGTGAGGGGTCTCTGAGGTTCAGGACCCCTTGATTGGCTGACATTTGTCTAGGGGCGTCCTGGTGAGGTGCGTAGGTGATCCTATCTACAGTAGTTGGAATGCCAGACATTTCCTTTGAGTGGTCTGCTCTTGGGTGGTGGTTGGGCAGTCTTGGTTTATGGTTCCTCCTGCAGCCAGGCGTTGTCTCAGGGTAAACTATTGAGACTCCAGACTCCATTTAAATTCATCGATGGCCAGAGTCCCAGGTAATAATGGTTGGAAGTAAAGAACTTCCTTTGGGTGACCTGCCCAGGCTTAGATTATCATGGCTGGCCCCTGCACCTTGACAGCATCTGCTGCCAACTATAGGTCGTTAGTGTCCCTCCCTCCTTTTGGAAAACAAAGCTCTGCCCATTGTTGAAAGCTACTTCAAGAAAAATTATTTTAGGGCTGGAGAGATGGCTCAGAGGTTAAGGATGCTGACTGCTCTTCCAGAGGTACTGAGTTCAATTCCCAGCAACCACATGGTGGCTCACAACCATCTACAATGAGATCTGGTGCCCTCTTCTGGCATGTAGTCATACATGGAGGCAGAACACTGTATTGTATACATAATAAATAAAAATCTTTAAAAAACAAAAAACAAAGTTTAAAAAAAATAAAGAAAAATTATTTTATGTGCTTGAGTGTTTTGCCTGTTCTTGTATGTTCACCACATGCATGGGTGCTGCCTGAGGAGGTCAGAAGAAGGAGTCAGATCCCCTGGAACTGGAGTTACAGATGTTTGTGAGCCACCAAGTGGGTTCTGGAATTCACTTCATAGACCAGACTGGCCTCAAACTCATAGAGATCTGGCTGCCTCCCAAGTGCTAGGATCAAAGGTGTGCACCACCACTGACTGGCTAAAGCATGAACTTGTTTTGCATGAACTTGTTTTCCCAGAACCACTTTAGGATGATGTAAAATGGTGTAAACATGGCTCCAGACCGTAGTAGACCCCCAGACCGTATCACAACTGACTCCACGGACAGAAATGCCACTCGGGCTGTAAAACAGCATGGAGACAATACAACCAACCAAACTGGAAACAAAGACCTAATCCATCCAAGTCCATAGTTCTGGGAAAGTCTCTAAATGTGCTAACCTTGCTTGTGGCTTTTACAGTTACACTTCTGGCTGACAGTTCTTGTTAACCCAAGACATGGATATTATGCGCAAAAGCTCACCCCGAGAGAGACTTGGAGCTACACTACATAGAAACCCAAACACTCAGTATAGTTAGCAGCAGACTAACACAGACTTCCTAGGAGCTGCTCATGTCTGAGCAGTCCTCTCTGGTGGGTACCCCCTGACAGTGGAACTATGAGGAGAAAAGATTACAGTGTTCCTCACCTTCCTGACTGCTACTGTCAGCCACCCAGGAACTGCACATCAGCACCCAGGACTGGATGCTCCCCCACCTTATCCATTACTGAGCTTTTGCCCCTGAAAAAAATCTCTGCAGGCCCCTCACCTTTCCATCCACCTCACCCCCTTCCCAGTGAGCCTAGAACAGTGTTTGTCAAGTGTAAATCTGACCTCACTCCCACTTGTCTGCTACCACTTCCTCCCAGAAGTCAAAACCCCTTCAAAGGTTCCTTTGTTCTGGGAACTTCCAAAGGGACCTACAAGATCTACAGGGTTTGCCCTGCCCCCACCCCCCTTCAGCCTCATCTTGATCTTGTCATCTCCCTTCCTCGACCCACTCAGGCCTTTTTTCAGACTTGCCTTCACCCTGCCTGCTCCTACCATGGTCCCTCTGCAAGTATGTTCTCTTCCATCTAGAATTCTGTCCATCTTCCTCCAGTTAGCTCCAGTCAGGTTATGGCTCCTGCTGGTTCCCCAGGAAAGCTTTCCCGGATCACTGAAGGCTGCTGCTTTGATGTTCAAACGAAGAGCAACAAGCATTGGAGGAGTAGCAGGTGGCTCTGAATTAGAGTGCCTGAAGCATTGGGTTGGAACCTCTGACAAAGGAAAGATACTAGGTGTCCGACCCACTGGACAAGGCTGGAGGCTATTCTGGGGCTATAATGATCCTCCTATGCTGCCTGCTTGGCTCTGCCCGCTCTGTACCAGCTCCATACTCAGTGTCTGTGGGCTGAGCATGCTCAGAGCAGGCAGGTCTTTCACATCTACTCTGAATGCTGCCTTTGTTTTGGAGTTAAGGCTACTGAGGGTGCCAAAAGATTAAGTGATTTGTCATTGGTATCAGAGGCATGTGAAACTCGATTCCTCTGTTTGTACAGAAGTGGTCGGCCCCTCCCCCCACCAGCTTCTACTTCCTTAAAAATCCAACAGAAACAACTTTAGCTTGGGTGAAGAACAACAGTTAACCAATTGGCTAAACAAGCAACCTTTGGCTACAAATTTGCTGACTTTTCATCAAGTTACTGAGACCAAAAGGGATTGGTCATGCGGTAAAGGCGGCCTTTAATCCCTGCACTCCCTGCACTCCTGGAGGTGGAGGCAGAGGCAGGTGCATCTCTGAGTTCAAGGCCAGCGAGAGTCAGTTCCAGGCTAATCAGGGCCACACAGAGATACCCTGTATCAAAACACTGAAGGAAAGAAAAAGAGCAAATTGCTTTTGGCGTCTGAGCAAATGCTTTTAATTTTGATATGCAATATGAAATTCCTCATCTCCTAAATCCTGGGCTATGAACAATTTAACTTTCAACAAATAACATACTGCCCTGATCTTAAAACCAAATGTGATGCACGTTGTTTCTCTGAGCTATTGGACCGGTTAATCTTGTTTCATTCCAAAGCCTACAGTGAAAGGTTGCTAGGGCGGGTACTTTATTCCAGGTGCAGCCACTTACTAGGCGCGCGCCCATAGGGAAATTGTGCGCCCTCTCCATGCCTGCTTCTTCGTATGAACAACAAAGATCCTATGTAGGACTACAGTATGAGGGCTGGCTGAATTCCGAAATGTAAACAACAGTGCCCACAACACTCAGTGAGCTCCGACGATTCCCATCCTGGAACTGGCGAGCATCCTGGGAGCTTGCCAGGTTCTGTATCACAATCAAGTTTAGCTTCCTATCTGGAGAGGTTCCCCATGTCATTGTTAAGAATATTCCCAGCGCACTCCAGGTCTGTTCTTTCCATTACTCACCCCACACACACACACCCTGTACATTTTCTTGTACCTTCTGCCCCACCCAAGCTTTGCTGACTATTCCCTTTGTAGTCTTCTCCCCACTCATAATTTCACGTTCTCTTTCTTGCCTGTTAGATGAGAAGCCCTGCAGACCTAGCAATCATACCACCTTCTTCCTACCCCAGCAGACTCCTAGAGCGTACTGTTTATACTAAGAGCTTTTAATTTGGTGAAGATCTGGATTTAGGTACCCTGGAAATTAATAACTTAGATGCTCCTTAACTTTATGAGTGATTCTTTCCTGGCCACTGGCCATGCCACTGGAAACCACAGGGCAAACCACAGTTTTAAGGTGCACTGAGAAACATCGGGATATACTAGCTAGAGCTGTCAGAGAAACAAGAATTTCTTAGGAGACATATGGACGAATGTTGTGATTCTAATTCATACAGAAAACAGCCTCAATTTTTATTGGAGTTAAGACAGAAGTGAATAGTTTTCTAAAAAGCAGATGGACATTTGAAAAACAGAAATCTGACCTGCACAGGGACATCACCGCATCCTCTTACCCGGAAAGCAGGTTAACATGGAAGCATAGTACCTCTCTGTAGCAAGAATTTCAAATATTGACTGACATCAGATTTTATTTTCACTGGGGTGGGGAAGGTGTGAATTCCTCAAGAGAAGCCCCAAAGTCTAGCATTTTATACCCCCTTCCTCACCAACTGCAGAAGGCAGGGCAAACGAAGGGCCAGGGTCACCTTCCCAGCAGATTTCCTGGCCATGTTGGGCACAGAACAACCTTGATGTTTCAAAAACAACCACACCCTTGGCTATTTCTTACTACTCAAGATGCTGAAGGTTTGGAACAAGGGGAGAACACGCCAATCTTTCTCCAGAATCAGAACTCTTAGGCCTGAGCTGCTTCACAGACCTTCCTGTCCAGCCCTGGCAATGGGCCTAGCTTGTGATGATCCTCTTTTCAAAATCACAAAGTTCAAGTAATCTCTTCGTCATCTCTGAAGAGAAAATAGAAAGTCATCACCAGAAGAGTGCACATGGCAGCTCAGTCCTCCCACTGAACAGACAGGCAGCTCTCTCGGAATCAGACTGCTCCTCTCAGAGCCTAGGGGGAAGCAGCAGCAGAGCTTCCCACACTGCTCCAGGCACAGAGAGGTCATCCGTTGTTGCTGAGGTTATCTCAATTATGGGGCGGGTCACCATTAACTTAACACTTATGAATCAGGAACAAACACATATTTGGGTAGAACTAGAGCTGTCCTCAGATACATAAAAACAGTTATGAATTTGTATGAAAATAGGGAGACAGAGGCAGGCAAATCTCTAAGTTAGAGGACAGCCTGGTCTACAAAGCCAGTTCCCGGACAGCCAGGGCTACACAGAGAAACCGTCTCAAAAAAGAAAGAAAGAGAGAGAGAAAGAAAGAAAGAAGAGAAGAGAAAGTAGGAAAAAACAGAAGAGAAGGAAAAAGAAAAAAGGCAAGCAGTGGTGGTGCCCACCTTTAATCCCTGCATGTGGGAGGCAGAGACAGGCAGATTTCCAAGTTCAAGACCAGCCTGGCCTACAGAGCAAGTTCCAGGTCAGCCAGGGCTATATGTAGAGAGACCCTGTCTCATTTAAAAAAAAAAAAAAAAAAAGGCAAAAAAATAGAAAAGACATATTAAACAAAAAATAGAAAAGACATATTTATATTTTCACACTAGTGAGGTTATAAAAACCTCCATCCTGAAGTATGAACTGCATCTGTTGATTCGAGGGAGAAGGGAGGAAAGCTGGATGTAGCAGTTTGGGTGGGAATTAAGCTAACAGTGCATTTCAAAGGGTGAGCGGAGCAAGTCACAGAAAGAAGCCAGCCAGGATGGCGGTCTCTCTGGAGCTTCTGCTGCCAGTGGTGACGCAGAAACACAACTGAACAGGATCTCCTCAGCAGCAAACTCCTCCCATGACAGCTGCTTCCATGTACTTTTACTTTCTTTGGGTCCTGACTAAAGTCAGGAGACTAAAAACACCAGCCATCCCAGCCCTCAGGCTAAGCTCCACTGGCTGCAGCCTTCTTCACACGCTTCTAAGAATGACTTACTCTCCCGTGGTCCCCACGGGCACCTTTGGCTTTGTGAGAAATAAGCTTTCGTAGCCTGAGGAATCAGAAAGAACTTCTGTTTTTTTTTTTTTTTTTTAATGGCCTTTCCATTAAAGTCCTCCATCCGGTGGGGAGCAAGGCAGAGTTTTCACCTGGGCCAAAAGGTTGTGGAATTCCTCCATGGCCTGGGTGTGTGCCACTGGATTTAGCACCAGGTGCTGAAAAAGATTGACAGGCTCAGCATTCCGGAATGTCTTAGGGATCGGGATGGTCAGGGGCAGGAAGCTGTTGCCAATGAGGAAATGATGGAGAGACCTTTGCTGGAGGCCCTGGCCTAAGAAGCAGAGAAGGTCCTGGAGCCGCCGGGAGAGCATGCTGTGCTGCCAGTCCGTCAGAGGCCGCTGGAGCAGCAAGTGCATGAGGGCTGTTTTGAAGTGGTAAGAGGTAAGGATGGGACGGGTGGCTCCCGGGGGTAACTTCTTGTGGTCCTGAAGACTCAAAATGATCTGCAGGCACTTGAGGTGGCAGGTGTTCTCAGGGGCAAAGCGTCCCACCAGCTTCAGAAACAAGTGTTCACAAGCTGCGAAGGACTCAGGCCAGTCCACGCTGGTGAGCTGTTCTCGCTCAGGGGCCTGACTCACCAGGTAGACCAAGGTATCTTCCCGTTGCACCCCGAAAACCAAACTGATGCATAGGAAGCGGCCCGAGCGGTAATCCAACCTGAGCTTGCAGGAGGTGGTAGATGGTGGGAGGGTGAGCTTGAAGTCATATTTGTGGGCCACTAGGGCCCAGGCATTGCCCACCATGTTGCGGAACCACTGCACGGTCTTACACACGTCCAGGTGCGAGCCAGTGCAGAGAGCGGCCTTGATGGAGCTACACTCGCTCAAGATGGCTGAGTGTTCCCTGCGGTGGCACACCAGGCACAGCACATCCCCCAGGAGCTTCTCCTGTTTGCACAGGCATCCCGAGTCCACCCTCACACAGCCGCAACGTCGGCCCAGGGCCGGATCTCTCATCTCCAAGACAAACCTAGTGCCCTGCGGAGGGGCAATGGGCACCAGGACAACAAATTTCTGCATCTCGTGGAGGGTCCCCCACTTCTCAAAGGCGGCGCCAATGCCCTGGCAGTCCTCCAGCTGTGGGTGAGCCTCCTGGCGGCTGAGCACCCGACAGGCCTCAATGAGATCGTCCACAAAGCTCTCCACAAACTCACAGGTGCAGGGCAGGTCACGGATGGCATTTTGGATATAATGTTTGTAAAAGGACTCCAGGGCTTCCTGGGAGGGAAAATCAGAGAGCCAGGTGTAAGAGGTGGCAGGCACGATACGGATCTCTTCCTCTTCCTCCTCGCTGCTGGAGTCAAAGGCTGGCTCGTGCTGCATGTTCTGTCGCAGGAGCTCAAAGATGAGAAAAAGGCAGAAGAGGCCCGCGTTCCACAGGTTCCCCAGCATCCAGCGCAGAGGCCCCCCATCTTGGTCACCGGCCTGGAACGGCCATCCTATGTCCTTCTTCCCCAGCACTAACTGATCACTGGACGTGTCTCCTCTCCAGAAGTTCTCCGCTTTCTGCTTCTGCTCAGCGGCTCGCCTTCTCTCTTCAAACTCTATCTCTAGCTGCCGCATCTCCTCGCTCATTCGTTTCTCCAGCTGCCGGCTCCTGGCCAGCGTGTCCAGGTCCATCCGGTCACTGACCATCAGGGGGTGGTGAACAACGTACATCACTGCCAAGAAGAGCAGGCTTATCACAGCCATGGAGGCCTCTGCATCTGGAGGAGGAGGGTGGGGAATCAGTGGTGACTTTCTGGCCCCATCAGTTCTCCAGGACATAGTCCCCAGAGCCCTGGTACCTCAAATCCTGGATGCCAACTACTCAAGAGGAACAGAAAATGCATAGAGCTGGGTTTGGACGGAGCAAGAGTGGTCAGCCTCAGACGAGGTTTAGGGAAGGGAAGTGGAGACTGCAGGATGTACCCTGCCTGAGTCAACTGCTTTCCTTCCACATCCTGTGGGTGCTATTTAGGCGGCCAGAGGGTGAACATGAGTCTGTTTTTTTATTCCAGTATAATATGGGGAGGGGGACCCTTACAGTGGGGTGACCTCACCCGACTCATCAGTCCACCTCGGGCACCAGATATGCCCTGCCAGTCCCAGAGGCTCCCTTCCACAGGCAGAAAACACAGAATCCGTCCAGGCAATATCTTCCCCATCCTTGGCTAGCCAGCCTCAGTCCCTAGCTGCAGCATCCCACTTCCTCTGTGACTTCACAACCCTGCCCTGTGTCATTAGACCATTCAGTCTCACCACTCTGCCCTGCAGGAGCCACTCGACAGGCACGGTGCTGAGGTTCTGAGGCAGGCTAGCAGATGGCCATCGGTCCAGCCGCACTTCCCAGCCCAGGAAAGTACCTGCAGAACTGAGTGGCCAAGACCCAACAGACAGACAGTAGCAGAGATTCCCTGGCCCTCCCACCAACCACTGAAGCCTGAAACTTCCGGCCTTCACCCCAGTGATTCACCAGCTACTGGGCTTCCTGAGCCATGAAGGGTAGGGCACTGTGGACACGGAGTTCAGGTGAGGGGCTCTTCTCCCCCTTGGAACTGAGCCCAACTGCCCTTTCCATGAGCCCTGTTCAAAATTACCAGGGCCGCAGAGTTCTGCCTAAAAGTAGGGTCCACTCTGCCATCAGTAACTTCCCCAAATTCCACGCCCAGACAGTGCATTCTCACCTCTCTCCTGCCTCAACTAAAGACCCAGACTAAGGGCTTCTCTTGGGATTAGGGGCCACCTTACTCACGGTCTCTATTAAGAGCAAGAGAGCATTCTTAAAGACACAGCGCGGCCTGGCCCCCCCTGCCTTCTTCCGGGCGTGCAGGATGCTCCCAGTTCATAGCCGGCACCAACTACGGGAGTGGTCCCGACGTGCTCTTTCTGGGGGTACAGACTATGTCTCCGACGGGCCAGAGTCTGCGGGCTGTGGACTGCTGCGACTACCACGCGGTGCCAGTCGTGGAGAACTCATGCAGTCCACAGCGGTTCCCGCCTCAGGGGTTCCGCCCCGGCAAGCTCCACCCCTTGCTCAAAGCCACGAGGCGGGGCCTGGGGCAGAGGCTCAACCAGAGCTGAGGCCCTCCCCGCAGAGCATACACCTTTCGTCCCTAGCCGATCTCTCTTGGGTTTGAAGGGACAGCAGAGCATCTGTGGCTACCCTCTCACAGCCGCTCTGCTTCGTTCGGTGGCACAAGGCTAAAGTAAAGTGCCTGCTGCCACCCTCACCAAGTTCCTTCCTGGACAATGTATACTTACTGAGAATTTGGGTAGGAAGATAATGGAGACAGAACTAGGAACTCCGGGGGTGGGGGGAGCTAGTCTCACTTCCCGCTGGCTTATGCAAAGTGAAAAAGGAGATGTGTTTAGGCACCCAGTAATAAGCATCGTTTGATGGGAAAGATGACTCAGTGAGTGGACTGCCTGCTGCCCAAGCTTGAAAATGTAAGTTTGGGTCCCCAGGCAGATACCTCTAACCCCAAAGTTGAAAGGACACACTAGGTAGGTCCACTGAGCTTAAGAGGCCAATGAGTGTAAGGTTTAGTTAAGAGACCCTGTCTCTTGCCTTTAATTCCAGTACTTAGGAGGCAGAGACAGGTGGATCTCTGAGTTCGAGGCCAGCCTGGTCTACAGTGTGAGCTCATGATGCTGATCTATGGCCTCCACAGGTACCCAGGAGGCAGGTGCACACATACACATGCAACATCCCACAAGCATGCACATACAGATATATGCATACACCACTACAAACCTCACCTCCAGACCATGCCCAGAATCATGAATCTTTCCCCAATCATAGTGACTCTTAGGAAAGGAGATCTATCACTCAAAGACCTGCCTTGGAGCCTTGCTTGCCACTCACTAGTCACATAAAAGTAAGAATTCTAAACCTAGTCAGAAGTGGTGGTACCCACCTTTAAACCCAGCACTTGGGAGGAAGAGGCAGGCAGATCTCTTGAGTTCAAGTCCAGCCTGGTCTACAGAGTGAGTTCTAGTACAGCCAGGACTACACAGAGAAACCCTGTCTTAAAAAACAAAACAAAACAAACAAAAACAGTAAAAGAATTCTAATCCTTTGATTAGATTTGATATAATCATACAACGTATCGAAGAGAACTTCATAAAGTATAAAGGCTAGATAAGGGTTAGTACATGTTAAAAATGCCAACCAGGGGCTGGAGAGATGGCCCAATGGTTGAAAGCACTGACTGTTCTTCTGAAGGTCCCAGGTTCAATTCTCAGCACCCGCATGATGCTCACAACTGTCTGTAACTCATGTATGTTATACATAGACATATGTAGGCAAAACACAAAAAATAAATCTGGGGAGATGGCTCAGCTGTAAGGGACACTTGCCCTTCCAGAGGACACTCGTTTGGTTCCCAGCACCCTCAAGGTGGCTCTGTAACCTCAGTTCCAGGAAACCCAACAATCTGACACCCTTTTCTGTCTCTATGGACTCTAGGTGCAGAATGCCCATCCACACAAGTAGGCGAAGCACACATAAACATCTTTTAAAAGTAAAGCAATCTTTTAAAAAGGGAGATGTCAACAAGCTATGGAACTATTTATTATTCCACTTAAAGATCATACTTGAACTGACAAAATCTCAGTGTCAAAAATCATTGGGGTTTGTTTGTTTGTTTTTGTTTTTTCTTTTGACTTTGTTTCCCAACTTGTTTTGTTTTGCAGACAGGGTATCACTATGTAGCCCTTACTGGCCTGACCCACAGAGATCCTCCTGCCTCTGCCTCCCACGTGCTGGAATTAGTGTGTGTTACCATGCCCAGCTCCAAGATGTATTTCTATATTTATTTGTTTGTTTAGAGATAAGGTTTCTCTTTGTTGTCCTGGCTGTCCTGGAACTTGCTCTGTAAACCAGGCTGGCCTCAAGTTCACAGAGATCTGCCAGTGTCTGCCTCCTGAGTGCTGGAATTAAAGACATGTACCACCACCACTTGGATCTAATTTTATTTATTTATTTATTTATTTATTTGATTTTTCAAGACAGGGTTTCTCTGTGTAGCTTTGGAGCCTATCCTGGAACTTGCTGACTGTAGACCAGGCCGGCCTTGACCTCACAGAGATCCACCTGCCTCTGCCTCCCAAGTGCTGGGATTAAATGCGGTGTGCACCACCACCGCCCAGCCTATTTTTATTTCTTATGTGTGTGAGTGTTTTCCTGTGTGTATGTATTTGAACCATGTGTGGTGCCTGGTGCCCAAGAAGGTCAGAAGATCCCCTGGAATTGGTGCTGGGAACTCCTCTCAGGTCCTTTGCAAGAGCAACAAGTGCTCTTAACAGCTGAGCCATCTCTCTAGACCCCTCCAACCTGTACTTCGTTAACTTAGAAGTGAGGAAAAACAGGAAACATGCTGATGGCTGATGTCCCATGGGTGACAAGTGGAAATAAGCTATAACACGGCTCATTTTAACAAACCAGCTCTAGTGTTGTAAGTACTCACCCTTGCTAGGCAAAGAAATACAGTAGATTATCTGTGAAATAGATTTAGCTGTATCCTTTAAAAACTTATATTGTAAGCCAGACATCTTTCACAGGAAAATAACCCCAGAATTTTGGGAGAGTTGAGGCAGGGGATAAATTCAAGGCCAGTCTAAAGTACATGGTGAGAGACCCTGCAAAAGCTGGACAGGTGTTGGGAGCACAAAGATCCC